TTGAACAATAATATTATCAATTATATTATAGAATATAATACCATACATAATGTTACCAATTATGCAATACTACCAATTAATAGATTTTATTGAATTTCCATTTGACATTTACTTACCAAATAAGCTTTACTACAAAAGTTTGGGCGGGAAAATGAAATAGGATGATTTTGTTGTTGTTGTTTTTTTTTTTTTTTTTTTTTTTTGAAAAGGGATGATTTTGTTTTTATATAATAATAATAATAATAATAATAATAATAATAATAATATAATAATATAATATAATATATATATATATAGATTAATTATTACCCTAATACTTAATTTATAATTCTGATTTTAAAATTCTTCTTATTATTATTAACATTAACATTTGATTAGTCTTATAAAAAAATGTAAATTCTAAATTTTGTATGAATAAATTTAAACTCTAATCCGACGCATTTCCTTATATGATTGTATAATTCATTGTATATACACATAATATTTATTAATATTTATATAGAAAAGTTCTATAATATAATTTCATTAACTATAATTTATATTGATAAATTTATAATTAAAAAATTACATTTAAAAATTTAAAAGGTTGCATTTAAATTTTGCATGATTATTATAGTGCATAAGTGTATGTATGATTATAAATATTCATGTTTTGTTAATTTAATAATTTCATTTCTTTAATTATATTTCATATTTTATTAATTGTAATTTAATGAAATTGTTACAAATATTTCTCAATTTCTTTAAATATATTAATTATAATTACCAAATATTGTGGCAATTACCATAATAATTTCATTAATTATATTACTTATATTAATTATAGGGAAAATGACACTTTTTCCCCCTGAGTTATATACTTATAGCACTTTCCCCCCCTCAATTATTCAAGTGGCTGTTTTTCCCCCTAAAATGTTAAATGGACATATTTACCCTTAAAATAAATATTTTATTTATTTTTCTTCTCCAACAAATTATGACCATAATTTGGTTCAAACCAAATAAACACTATAGCAACCAAATCGAAATATTTCAATTACAATTTAGAATCGAAACTCGATATTTAGAGTTTATTAAAATCCCGGAACGGACGGTTCATGTTCCGAACTGAAAAAATAAAATACATTTATTGTTGAATTTAGACTATTTTTAAAATAAAAATAAAATTTTAAAATAAAAACGGTTCAAAATCGCGAATCGGGTCCGGAACCGCCAGTTCACGGTTCAGGATCCAATTTTTTTGATTCATAATTTTAATAAATTAAAATCCAAATATTTGGTTCTAGATCTGAATCATAACCGGAGACTTTTAATTCGATTGCTATAGTGTCTGATTCAGTTCGAACCGAATCGTAGTCATTCCTACGTATACACAATAATTTATTGGAGAAGTAAAATAAATAAAATGTTTATTTTAAGGGTATAAATGTCACTTTAATATATTAGGGGGAAAATAACCACTTTTAGAATAATTGAAGGTGCTAATGTGCTTACCTAAATAATTGAGGGGGGAAAAGTGCTATAAGTATATAACTCAGGGGGAAAAAGTGCCATTTTCCCTTAATTATAATATTTGTAATAATATCTTCCAAAATTTAAATACATTACCATAATAATCACACAAAATAATGAAAGAAAAATTATCAAAATAATTATCTTTAATAAAAATAAGGTAATTATATTAAAAATTAATTATATATTAAGGTAAGTATAATTTATTTCATGCCAATAATATTATACATTAAGTATAAAAATATATATGTATATAAATTACCATAATAATTACACCAAAAAGGTAACAATATATAATTATTAGGTAATAATATTAATAATTAATTATTAAGGTAAGTATAATTTATTAAAGAGTGGATATAATTTAAAAAGTAAATTATTTATTAGATTACCTAATATAATTATCTTACTAATTGATTCCATGCTACTATGTATAATTCATATATTTGAAAATTTTTTAAATCAAAATATCTATTAATTGTCTTAATAATTAAAATAATTGTTAGTCAATCAATATTCAATAGTACTAAAAGTATTATTTGAATTTTTATACAAAAGATATAATATTCTTAAATCGAAATAATTAAAAATAATGTGTCCATATTACAAAAGATTTTATAATAGTAATTTTTATTGCATAATAGAATTTGGCAATTATTAAACATTGTTTACAATTATTAAACATTGTTTATGGTAATTATTGTATGACATTTAATACTAAAATTATTAGGTAGAATTTTTATAATTAAGGTATAATATTCTTAAGGTACAATATTGCTTATATATGGTTTACCCGTATTAACCATCATTATATTAAATTAATATATAATTCTTTTAATATAATATATTATTAAATCTAAACATATGATTAATATTTATTCAATATTATTACGGAAGTATTAGAATTATAAATTTTACTCCGTATTAAATTTTAAATGGCTTAGCATATCGAAGCAAACATGGTAAGTCAATAACATTATTTTACATTAGTAAAGTGATTTTATATCAAGGAATGTCAGATGAAGAATAAAATCAAAATAATACTCTATTGAAAAAAAAGCCACAGTACTTAATCATTTTTTTTCCTAAAAAAAAAAAAATTAAATGACAAGAAAAACGTCTTGAAGGGAGAGACAAACTACTCTCTTATTACAAAAAATGTACACTTTATAGACGGAGAAATTGAATCGAAACAAAGTCCAACGCTTTGATATATTGACAACTAAAAAATGCTTTTAATTTCATTTTGGTTTTTATTGTATTCTTAGTATGCTTCCCTCTGTAAGTCTATATCTATTTACATATACACATAATTCGTCCCTCGATCACAAAACTTTATCATCTTGATGAGCAAAGAACTCTATTGCTTCCCGATCAATCTTTCTAGATTCGTATCTTCTCCACAAAAATAGACAAACAAAAAATATATATATCAATATTTTTTCTTATGAACCACTTTTGTTGTTTAAAAACCATAAAATACAAAAAAATAAAAACAAAACAAAACCCAAAAAGAAGAAAAAATAAAAGAAACTAAGATGATGAAAACCTCACCAATGCAAATCACGTATCAACCTCAACTGTGGAAGATTACAGGATGATTAGAAGTCTATTGCTTCCCGATCAATCTTTCTAGATCCGTATCTTCTCCACAAAAATAGACCAAAAAAAAATATATATCAACATTTTTTCTTACGAACCACTTTTGTTGTTTAAAAATCAGAAAATACAAAAAAATAAAAACAGAACAAAACCCAAAAAGAAGAAAAAATAAAAGAAACTAAGAATGAAAACATCACCCGTGCAAATCACGTATCAACCTCAACTGTGGAAGATCACAAGATGATTAGCAAAAATCAATGAAATAATTAACCTTAGTTGGGGTTGTGTATGGTCATATAAGGTGTATTTATACACAATGAATGAGATCAAAAGGGTTTAGTATTGAAATTATAAAATGGTAAGAGATCTCAAGAAAGGTAAAATCTTTAATATTATTGAAATGCCATATTTGTCTAAATATTTAATATTACAAAAATGCCTCTAAGTTTTGGGGGGAAAACTTGGCTAGGAGGATTTTACTTTTATATATATATATAGATTTGTTTATTAAATATTATAAAATAACATTGGTGTAATGGGTTGGAGATGGAAATAATTTGATGTAAAAATATACTGAGAATATTCCTTTTATTGGGTTTTGGTTATGGGATACATTCCATTTTTTGCAAAGCAATTGATAATATGGGATGAAGGTCCAATGATGCACAAATTTTGCTATGAAGCTTTAGACCTGACAATGAGGGATTTGTTACGCTCCATAAATCCGAATAGTTATTATATGACCTTTGGTGGTAAAACAGTTATTTTTTGTGACTATTTCAGGCAAATTCTACAAGTAATTCTAAAGGGCACACGTCAAGATATTGTTGGGGCAAACATAAATTCCTCATATCTTTGGAGATCATGTAAAGTATTTAGGCTAACTAAGAATCTACGCCTAAGTGGTGTACAATCAGAGGTCGAAGCTAAAGAGATTAAAGAGTTTGCAAAATGGATAGTTAATATAGGTGATGGAGTAGTTGGTAATTCAACTGACAGTGAAGCAGATATTACAATTCCAGATCACTTATTGCTCAAGTTTGACGATGATCCTATTGCTGCAATTGTTGATAGCACATTCCCTTTGTTTCGGCGCAATATAAGTGATCTGTCATATCTTAAGAACAGTGTTATTTTGGCTCCAACATTGGATGTGGTAGATAGCTTTAATCAATACATGAATGATCATAAAATTACAAAGTTTATTATTTCAAATTTATTAGGTTTTCAAACTATATATTTTTTTCATCTAATTATATTATACTGTATATATATCATACTATATATATAGTCGCGCATCGCGCGGGTGCACCTACTAGTTAAAGAAAAGAAACAGGGAAGTCACAAGACTTTCCCCAGCAAGAGTTTTAGGCTCTTGCCCCACTAGAGTTTTAGGATCTTGCCTAGCTACTAAAGCTTAAAGACTAAGGATAAAGATTGGATGATTTACTCTCATCTAGAGGTTCTAATTTATAGTGCCAGGAAATAAATAATTATAGAAAGGAGATATTGTTGATATGATTGTGCCTAGGGGTGAAAATAGGCCAGGCCCCTTTGTAGGGGCCTATGGCCTAGCCTGTTTAGGGCCTAGTTAGACCTGACCTATTTAATAAATAGGCCAGGCTTAGGCCCAATTTAAGACCTCTTTACTAAATAGGCCTAGGCCTAAATGAATAAGGCCTGGCCTGCGAGCCCGCAAGCCAGGCCTGTTTATATATATATATATATATATATATATATATATATATATATATATATTATAATTTTTTACCTACGTGTTTTTATATAACTCTACTCATATATAAATATATATATATTATAATTTTTTACCTACGTGTTTTTATATAACTCTACTCATATATGTAAACCCTACAGATCCCTTCCACTCCCTACTTGTAAATCGCCGCTCCCTTCCACTCCCTTCACATTTCCTTCCGTCTGCTTTAAGTGGACCAAGCCTACAGATTCCGTCCCTTCCCCTTTCCTTCCTAGACCAAGCCTGCAGATACGTTCAAGGTTTCATCAACGATGCTTCTGCTTCGTCTCAGCGTCTCCCAACTGTCCTTCTTCTCCGCCGCTCGTTCCGGCTTTGTTCATGATTGGACTGTGGAAGCCACACCTTTTCTTCGCAAGTTCGTTCGGCTGACAGGCTTCCTTACGGATGGGATTTCGACACTCGCCAAGTCGCCCACCTACTGCCCGCTTCTGCAACGAAAGAATCCTTGTAGATTATCTTGGTAATTACTTCTCTAGTTGCTTTAGTTTTCTGTTCCGATCTTAGAGCACAAATGAAAATTCACATTATTTATTGGTTAAAATTTTACTGACTATTTAATTTTTTTTCACTGTAATTTTATTGGTAATTTTGGGTGTTTTGGATCTTTAACTCTTTGTTTTGCATTATGGCGTATGTAGATTTAATTGTTAAGGATACTATTTTTGCGCAGATAATCTGGAGAGGGTTAAGATGGATTAGCCTAACTGAATTGTTAATGACTTCCAATTTTGCAGGTTCGTTGCTTAATGAAGTCAGATCGTGAGCATTTTGCTTACTTCTGAATGACTTATAAATTTAAACTTTGGGTCTAGTGATGTTCATTGTATTTTCAGGAGTATACATTTCTTTTAGTACCTAGATGGCAGTAGATAAATGTGGATTATAATCCTGTACTGAATATATAATGTTGGTTGTGCTAGCATAAATATTCAGAAATTAAAAGCAATTTGATATGCTTTTGCAGAGTGTGTTGGATGGGTATAATGGGACAGTAATAGCTAAAGATGATGTGATTAAGCGTGGCATCATGGCTAGAGCATTGGAAGACATAATTGTCAATACATCTCCTGAGACTGCCAGTATGAAAATTTCCTATCTTTTCAGGTTATTGAAATCAACTCGTAATACTGAAAATTATGGTGAATGCGAATATTTTTGTTGTACTGTATCAAGTTTTTGTAACTGAAAATCTCATTGTTCAATCAGGTGTACATGGAATCCATACAAGATTTGCTTGCTCATGAAAAGATAAACATCCCAATTGTTGAGGATGCAAAGACTGACAAGTATTGGTACCTAGTGCCACTACGGTTAAAATTCAGGATCTTCACCATTTCAAGCAGCTATTGCAAACTGGAGAAGCTAATCGTTATGCTACTTTATATAATTTATTTATAATTTAAACACAAGTAATTTTGTTCAAATAATTGATGAAGTAATTATATCCAATTGAGTTTGTGTGGTGTTTTTTCCCAAGTGTAGTGGTGGCTTCTATTTTTAATCCATTACTAATTATGGTCAAAGAAAATGTAAGAGCACTACAATGATATATATGAATTTTTCGATTACAGTTAGTTTTAATTTGCTATTAGTTTCTAAAATGTCTCTCTGTATTCACCAGAACTGTCTGAGTGATTCTAGTAGTTTAGTATGTACATGATAAACTAGATCAAAAGAACAAATTTGATAACAGGCTAGACATGAAGCTTTTTTAATGGTTTACATATTAAATAGGCTTTTAAAAAGGCTTCAGGCCAGGCCAGGCCTATTATAGGCTCAGACTTGAGCTTAAGAAAAAGCCTATTACAGGCCCAGGCTCAGGCCTAAGTTTTCTATAACAGGCCCAGGCCTATTTTTCTAAAGCCTGGCTCGGCCTGGCCTATTTCCACTCCTAATTGTGCCTTTGATTTTATTTTAGTCAAATTCCTTGAGTTAAAGTCTTTCCTTGTGTATTCTGATTTGTGTGATTTTCTTCATTTCTTTTTCTGAGTAAACTATCCCTTCATATCACAGTACCTCTCTTATAGAAGGGTATATCACACAAAAATCATATCTTTAGCTACATAAGTCGATGAAAATGCTTAGAAAATGCATTCAAACTCCAAAAAGCACCTGTTGAAATACAAGATCATCCCCAAATCCAATAAAATTACGGAGTATGATCTTTTCTTACTCGAGAAATTAGAAACCAATCACTAATGCCAACTATATACACAATCATTTTAGTTCACACATCAGATTAATGGAAAACAAACACCTAAAAATAGTTAATTCCACAACCCACTCATAAACATGATGCTAGTACCTATACACATTTGCAGATTATATACATACATATAAGCACCTAAAAACACAGGAGACTTGGGGAAATCTGAGGAGAACATGATGAAGAATTGTAGAAGGGAGAGAAGTGGGGTTGTTTAGGTAAAGCCAGAAACACAAAGTGATACCCCCATTTTGTACTCTATCTTCATCTGCAAGGGTTGAACTTACTCTTCTACCAACCCCAGAAAACCAAGGATGTAACATCCAAAGAACAAAGAAACGAGATTCGGATACAGCTATTCTTGAGAGTGAAGAACAAAAGGACATCACTAGAAACCACCAAAACCATTTTAACTTATAAAGCAACCATAGAAGATGCCATCAATTATATACAGATCAATTGGCTTTGAGGGAACAAGCGATGTTGGTCTAATAATCCCCTCTTTTTCGGAATAAGGGTCAAATAGGCCATTGAACCGTTAGGCTACTGAATTCAAAAAAATTACAATTGAGTCCCTAAACTAACCAATTTCAAGCAATTTGTTCAATTTGCAGGTTTTCCCTCTTTCTAACACCTAATTTAAAATATTTTTTAAAAATAATTTAGAAAATATTTAATTAAAATAAACTAAATTTTAAAAATAATTGTTTTTTTTATTTAAAAAAAAAAAAAAGCATTGTTTCCGCCGGAGACGAAGGTTCCGGCTAAGCCTGATACAAACTTAGCAATTTCTTGATTTTCCGAGAGGTTTTCCGGCTGATTTTTTTTTCTTGATTACTACCTTTGACCTATTTTCCGATGATATTTTTGGCTTTTTAAATTTGTTCTTAAACTAGAGTTTTCGAGGAAAGTTTGTTGGGGGGTTTCGTTGTAATCTGAGATATACGATGTTATCATCATCCAACCTCCGGCTGAGCAATGAAACCCAGAGTTGAGCCCGGAAAGCCCATGAGCAATCCAGATTGTTTGTGAGGACCCGGATGAGCAATGAAACCCAGAGTTCATCGAACGACTTTTTCTTTTCGTTTATTTTAATTACTCCCTCCGTCCCATTTTACATGTCTTACTTTCCTTTTTAGTTTGTCCCAAAATGTTGTCTACTTTCCTAAATTAAACACTACTATCATTCTATTTTTCCAATTTTGCCCTTATGTGCATTTCATACTTTTGAGTTAATTTATTGTACTTTGTACTATGTAGTACAAGTGATTTGAGTATAAAGTGATAGAAGGGTCAAATCATCACATGGCATGTTGGGGATAAAATAGGAAAACTAGTATTCTTTTCATTGCTTCCTAAAAATCCGTGTAAATGCAAAGTAAGACACATAATTCGGGACGGAGGGAGTAATAATTTTTTAAAAAATTTTTTAAAAAATATTTTAAATTGGGTGACTTAGAGAAAACCTGCAAATTAAACAAATTGTTTGAAATGAGTTAGTTTAGGGACTCAATTGTAGCTTTTTTAAGTTCAGTGGCCTAATTACATTATCATGTGCGGTTCGATGGCCTATTTGACCCTTATTCCCCACTTTTCCTAATTGGCCCAAAAATTAAGGTGCGGAATTAAGTGCTGTCCCACCACCTAATGGCAAATTATGCCCTGGACCCGTGTCCACAAAGAATTATGGACACGGGCCCAAAACGACGTCGTTTTTCAAAAAAAAACGCGTCATTTAGTTTAAAAAAAAAAAAAAATCGCGCGCGTTTTGCCGTTAACGGCGTTATTTGTTTTTTGGATTATGAATGTGCAGTTATGCCGTTATGAATGTACAGTTATGCAATTATGAAATTATGAACACAGAGCTCTAACATTATGAACTTACAATTATGAACATATATAGTGATAAAATTATGATCATGGAGCTTTAAAATTGTGAATATAGAGCTTCGAAGATTATGAATGTACAGTTATGGAGTTATGAATGTACAGTTATAGAGTTATGAATCTACAGTTATGGAGTTATGAATCTACAGTTATGAGATTATGAATCTACAGTATGGAATTATGAATGTATAGTTATTGATCGAATTATGAACAAAGAGCTCTAACATTATGAACTTACAATTATGAACATATAGTGATAAAATTATGAACATAGAGCTCTAAAATTGTGAACATAGAGCTTCGAAAATTATGAATGTACAATTATGGAGTTATGAATGTACAATTATGGAGTTATGAATGTACAGTTATAGAGTTATGAACGTACAGTTATGGAGTTATGAATGTACAGTTATTAACATATAGTAATAAAATTATGAACATATACTCCCATAACGAAGCAGTCTGAAATTAAAAAAAAAAAAAAAAAAAAAAAAAAAGAAGATAACAGTGCCTAACGGCACTGTTACCCGTGTCCAGCATAACACGGGTCCAACGCATAACGATTGTCACCTAATCTTTAGAAAAATGGGATAGAATAAAGTGGTGCGAGGGGTGGCTGGGTGGGATTAATAATCTGTTCACTATTGAAGGGATTCATGATCCCATCATAATTCCGCTTAGCAACAGGGATGAATCATCCTCCATTGAAGTAATAAGCCCCTAAGTATTTGTTTGGCCCAGCTAATGGCTTGTACAAAAAGGGGCACTGGTTTTTTTACTCTTAACTAGGGCTGTGCAATCGAATGGATCGGATGACAGATAAGGTCCTCCGATTGAATTTCAGATATCAATTTTGACTACCCTATCAGTTTAAATTTGTTGACTTATCCGACAGTATTTTGGTTTTTTAAAATGTATAAATCAAATAATCAATTCAAAATTAACATCAAAAGCACATTAATATCTAATTGAAAGTCTGAAATACTGAATAAATAAGTAAATAATTGATAGTGTAATAGACTAATTATACTAAGTTACTAACTTAGTAATTAGTATTACTAAATAGTCTATTAACTAACACTAAGAGTCTTAAGTGTCTAAGACTCTAACAAAAGTAAATAACTAAGTTGATAGTGACATAGTGTTACCTACTCAACTGTTACAGACCAAAACTCTACACAACTACATACACAACTGTAAAGGAACTAAATAACAAATTTACAAAATACACTACTGATTAGTGATTACTGAACAGTCTAAACTCTAAACTGCAAGTGCAAAATCAGCAAAATCAGACAAAATCAGCAACTCAGCCACTACAAGTGTCAACTACTGAACTCCTAGACTTTTAGAATTCAGACAATTAGACCTACTCTTCTTCCTGTGAATTGTGACAAGTTAGTGTAAATAATTAGTACACAAGCAAGTAAGCAACTGAGCAAGCATTAGAAAATGAAAAACAGAGAAGGGATTATATCAATCTTGGCTCAGTAAGCATTTTTTCTATATCATTTGGATTAATGGCAAATTGCTTCAATATAACTTAAGTATAGAGCAACTCACCAACTTAATCCTTTTCAGATTAAAGGTGGAAGCTTCGTCATTACCAAATGCCAACATAAAGGGAACAAACATAATAAAATATTTCATACATTACCAACCAAATGCCCAAGGGACTTGAGAGTTGAGGCAGCAACTTAGTAAAAGTTACTAGGCCTTCATACTTACAGAGTTACAGATGTCCAGTGTAATTGAGTCAAACACAGTGGGCTCAAAAAATACCAAGTGAGATACTGAGATAGTGAGATTAGATTGCAATTGAGTCAAATAGTCAAATACTGTAAAAGATTACAATAAAATCAAGTAAGTAAATCAAGTAATGTAAATAATAACATTACAGGAATTGTAGCAAGTGTAGAACCAAGAGACCTCCCACTTCCACCATCACCACTTAACTCTGCAAAATAAACAAAAGTTAAAAGTATTAAAAATTTAAGTAATTTAAAATGTAAGTATAAAACAGTAAAAGTTATACCTTTTTCAAACTTCTCCAACTCTTCCAGATTCTCCTCAATACATAAAGGAGTATTTAGCATTCTAAGCCAATCTTGTGTACACACCATTGCTTTCACAATTTTTGGAGTTAAAGAACTCCTAAAAGGATCCAATACTCTCCCAGAAGTACTGAAGGCAGATTTTGAGGCAACAGTGGAGATTAGAATGGCTAGGGCATCCCTAGCAAGCTTAGACAGAACTGGAAACCTAGCAGAGTTGATCTTCCACCATCCAAGTAAATTAAAAGATTCTTCCTCTTCAACTATTGCCTCACTCAAGTACATATATGTAATTTTGCATTTCCTCATTTTTAATCAAATTAACTGGATTAACTAACTGATGAAATGGACTGACTGATTCAGCGATGAAGTCAGTCGGTAAGGCAGATCATTGCAAAGATAATAGAAAGAGATAACAATCACAAAGCAACACACAAGATGTTTACCCAGTTCGATACAGTGTGTATCTACGTTTGGGGGACGATCACATAGGTGTCCAATCCACTAAATCATAATCCAATGTACAAAGGTAGAGAAACAATAATCTCACCCAAGTGCCCCACACAAGGTACGTACCCAGTCTACACAGGTTTAGTGGATTGTTGAAGATGGAGAGTCATGCATACAGAAGTCCAATGAAATCCCTTCACTTGGACATCCCACTCTGATGCAGTCCACTTCAGTAACGCTCTTCTCAGTTGTTCCCGCAACTGTGTGATCGTAGTGTCCTTTCGTTTAAGCAACAATAATCCTTCTCATGTTCTTCATCATAATCACCATAAACATGTTGTATTGAAAAGGGGAATGATAATCAAAGATCAGAACTCATAAACTCGTATGGAGTGTTTCTTCTCTCTCAAAAGTGTAACCCTAATTCTTGTCGAATGAGAGTACTTATAGTTCCATCATAAGAACACTCTCCATAGATATCTTTGATTGTAGATGGTAGGACAATATTTGAAGAATGTAATCTTAAAGATCCGGTCCATACCTTTCCAAGCCAGATATGCTGATCGTCTTTCCTATTCTGTCTTCTTTAAACTGCGTACAGCTTTTAAGGAATCAGCTTCCTAAAACAGATCTTCAGTGTCAGTCCCTCTGATGTTGTATCTGATTGATCAGTCCTTTGTAGAACAAAATCGACACTAGACTAAACCTACCTTAGTTTGCCATAATAATATGGCCAATTATAAGTTGGGGTTTTTTGAATAATTAAAACACTAACAATATCCAACTCAGTTTGTTTCTTACCCCCAGACTCCAATCTTTGTTTTTTTTAATTTCGGACTTCAGAAAATGTTGTGGCTTCCCAACAGAAACAGAAGAGGCAGATGTAGCCTGAACAGAAACAGGCATAGAAGGGACAGAACTCACAGTAGAAGAGGCAGATGTAGAATAATCATCAAATAATTCAGCAAGAGCATCAACTACTTTTTCATAGAATGGTTTACCCTTTTCCTCACCATACATATGATTAAATTGAGTAGGTGTAACACCCCGTGTTACGGCCTCTAACCCGGACTAATTATTTAATTACTTACCATTAATAATAATTAGAAGAGATTTGATTGGATTAGGCTCCCCTTAATTAATTAAGGTGGCCTACCATGGATCATGGACCCTTATCTTTAAACCAAACCCTTAGTCCTATAAGGAATAGAATAAGTGAATCCTTACCATTTAGACCCTAGTTAGGACTCCTAAATATATATAAGGACTTAGGAGGCACTTAGAAATCCCACCACAATTGATTCTACCACACAAGATATCCCCAGGAATTCCCCTGTCACCAAACGTAGGAGAACCCACGAGGAGAAGATCTTAGAGAAAGAACCTTAGCAGCCAAGGATTCTAATTAAGGCTAAGAGGTAACCCATGTCTCAACAAAACCTATTTTCCTCTCTATATCTTATTCATTGGCTCCTTTGATATATGATTATGTGCTTGAGTCTTAATAGAGTTTTTCCTAGAGTTTATATGGTGTTTATGTGTTAATCTTGATGCTTATGTGATGATCTTGATGTTCTTGATGCTATGATAAATTGTATGAATAATCTTATATTTTGTTTATGTCTAAAGCCCTAGGGTTAATAACGTGGATTTCATATTATGTTATTCTTGGTATGTTTTGGTGGAATTTTGCATGATCGGGAGTTGAGTCTTGGCATGTTTAGGAGTCGTGTTAGGATGTATTTGGTGTGATTCTTGATTTAATTCTGTTACTTGAATACGTGGTGTTGTCGTTTATGTTTGAATGTGTCTCGACATGGTTTCGGGTTCCACGAAGGATCCCGGGACCGAAATATTACATATGAGTCAGTGGGGGTAGGTGGGGGCAGGGGTGCCCGCCACCTACCCGCTGCCCCTTTGTACCCGTTCCCAGCGGGTAGCCGGCGGGCCCTGCCCGCCGGGCACCCGCTGGAAACTATGGCCGCCGCCGGGTGGTCCTCCACCCGCCGTCCACCCGCTAGAAAGTTGATGGGAAATGTGATGTTTTCCCCCGTTTGTTGTTTCCCTGTGTCCCGTTGTACTCCGTTTGTAGTGTGTGAGCCTAGTTTGATGTATCGGGTACCGTTCATAGGATAAAAGAGTCTTGTGTCTTGCATACTAGTAGAATTGGTATCCCGTTGGCCTAGGAGGAAGGTGTATGATCCCGTAGGAAGTGTCATGGGTAGGTTAATGTGGTTTGTTACGTTAGGATAAGTGCTCCCCGATGATTCCCCCTCGTTATGTGTTAATGTGGATTGCATGTTGTTTGGCTTCTATGTTGATTGTGCATGATACCCCAATTGGTTGCGATCAATTGGCTATAGTGACTATCTGATGGGTTGAGAACCATCAGGTATTAACTCGGTCAGTTGCGATCGGTCGGCTATACAGGCAGTTGGATTGGTTGAGAACAATCGGCTGTTATATATATATATATATATATATATATATATATATATATATATATATATATATATATATATATATATATATATATATATATATATATATATATATATGGTTGCGGTCCACCGTTTGGTTGCAATTAAACGTTTATGATATAAATGAGTTGCGGTTCATTGATTGGTTGTGATCAATCTCCTTGTGCTGCGGTACAAGTTAAAGTGCTGCAGGGCCATGTCAGGGCTATATGCACTTACCCCTTGGCAATGGAACTCAAGGTTCGGGTCATGTGGATGGTCCTGCGGCACCACCATATGTGTATACGTGTCTTATTGTTGATTGTTGACTGAAATAGTAACTGAATAATGCTATGATTGGTATTGCGTAGTCTTGTGACCATAGGGTGCATGCTAGAATCTTTATGTTTGTGTTTAATCGTATTGAATGCATCTGCTATTGCTTGATTGAGTCTATTCTCGGTTTTAAATTAGAGTTTCATAAGTATATATGTATTCCAGTTCCAAAATGAGTTTCTTATATCTACCTATATTGTACTTTAACGCGTTGGAGTGGGTTACCAGCATTATTCGCTGAACAGATATTATTTGGCTTTCAGGCGCAGATGAATAGCTCCGGAGCGTGCTAGTTGGACCCGTGGACTTAGTTAGATTAGTTCTATTATGGCCTGCGTGCCTTGGAGTTGCATTAGATATTGATTTGAGGATTTCTTATGATTGGATAGTTTAGCTTGTACATCTGAGTTCTCCAGCTCAGATGTGGCATAGCACCCCGACTATTATGTTAGTTGATGCTCTGTTTGGGAATTGATAATAGAATTACCTTTATTTCATAAGATTTAAAAGTTTTAAAAATTAGGGGTGTTACAGTAGGCATATACTCTAACTTTTCTCTAGGGTCTAGAATGTTTGCAAAAAATATCATTACATTCATTTTTTCAACATCATCCCAATACTTCTCAAATTTTGCCTTCATATTTTTCCCCATATCACCAACTGCCCCACCAGCTTCCACCATGCTTTTCAATAGGCAGTACATATCAGAAATCTCAGTAAAGAATGTGTTTGAGGTGACATATAAAGAACCAGAAATTCTAATGGTCATGTCATAAAAACACTTCAGTAACTGAACCAAACTGCCAACAGATTCCCAGTCCATAAAATCAGGAATTGAATTACCCAAATCAGACTTGAAAGAACAATCAGACTCCAAAGATTCAAACACTTTCTGGTAAGTTAATGCAGACTGCAACATAAAATAGGTAGAGTTCCATCTGATTGGAACATCTAAACACAATGAAGACCTTTGTTCAATACTCAACCAATCAGCCAAATCCCTGAACTTCTTAAGTCTAGCAGGAGAGTTTCTAACATTATCTAACCACCTCCCTAACCTTCTTAACAGAACTATCAGTCTTTCAGACCATCTTGAACTACCAAGTTTAAGATATGGGCAATACATCTCATGTGAAGATACTTTGCCCTCACAATAGATGATCCCCAAGACACCAATTTTTTCTTCAGAAACCCCATAGCAGTGTCATTTGATGAAGCATTATCAACAGTCACAGAAAACACATCTCTAAGCCCCCACTCTAGCAAACAATTTTCTAGGGCTTTGGCTAGATATTCACCTTTGTGAGAGGTAACAGGGAAAAATGCAAGAATTTTCTTATGAAGCTTCCACTCAGAATCAATAAAATGGGCAATTACTACCATGTAGTTAATTCTTCGGATGGATGTCCAAGAGTCTGTAGTGATACTAACCCTATGACTGCTTCCCCTTAAAAATGACTTCAATTTTAGTCTCTCCTCTTCATAGACAACTAGGATGTCCCTACTTATAGTCCACTTGGATGGAACTATAAACCTAGGGCAAGCAATAGCTATGAACCTCCTGAAACATATTCCTTCCACAAATCTAAAGGGAAATTCATTTATGATTATCATTTCAACCAAGGCCCTCCTAATTGACTCTTGATTAAATACCCAGGTCCCTATTTCTCCCACAGTAGGTTGACCAGATGTAAGTGATGTAACAGCTTGAAATGTTAACAGGGACTGTCTAGTGTCCTTGGAGTGAGGATTTTTCAAACAGCTCACCATGTGATTTCTTAAGGAAGAAGTACCATGTTTTTTGGACTCACACTGATAAATTTTTGCACAATAAATGCATTTGCCTTTTACAATAACATCATTACTTTCCTTTATCTTCTCAAAATAATCCCACATTGGTGATCTGGAATCAACCTGTTTCCTTTTCTTGTTAGAAACAGTAGCAAGAGGTTGCTCATTCTGTTGATGATTCTCAACAGTTTGGGCTTCCACCCCAGAAGGTCCATCAATTGAAGAGTTGGGAGGTTGACTACCAAGTATACTGATATTTTCCATCTAAAAATGGTGAATTATCAGTAAGCATAGGTAGGGTTCATATTCAAGAAGAATAAACAGTCTCACAGTCAGCATAGCATACAATTACACAGAATCACAGAAGCAGAAATGATTCCAGAATCAGACACATTGTGTGTCATCATTTTCAAAGAATACATAATTATTTATTTATTTTATTTTATTTTGTCATTAAGATTTAAGGGCATTAAGGGGGAATTTAAGGGCAAACATCCATAAACTTGAGTACTTTGACATTTTTAAACAAATCCAGATTAAGGGTTTTAATTTCCCTTTCCAGAGAGGCAGACATTGTTATACAGTCATGGCCTCATGTTCATCAGGCATCATTATCTAGATTTACGAGGCAAGTGTGACACCCCGTAAATCTAAACACTAATCGAGGATTAATTGAAGAATTAATCCAAGTTTCCTTGCTAAACCATTTCTAAAAATCCTGAAATTTAATAGTCGAGGGACTAGATTTTGACTAGCCACTTAAGTCAAAAGGTTGTACCTTGTGCTTCTTGAGTTGTGCCCTTGTTCCCTTGTCTTTCCAACATTAGTAAGGGTAGAAATGTCTTTTCACCTAAGAATTGTGATTCAAACTAACCTAACAAGACTCTCTCATTTCATTCACCCTTCAAGCAAAAACTCAAAAACTCAAAAACTCTAGCCTCTCTCTAAAATAATCTAGCTTCTTCTCCAAGCAAGAAATTGTGCATCCAAACCTTGCAAGATTTCCTACCAAGATTCCTACTTTCTCCTTATTGAGCATAGGAAAGGGTAAGATCCTTAGCTTTTTAGTGTTTTTAATCTCATTTTAGGTGTCTTTTTGTAAAGATAGGGTCTTTGTTGTGTTTTGGTTTGTGTATGAAGTTGGTGTGGAAGAGGAGCTCTAGGAAAGGCTATTAAGGGTGATAAGAGGAAGTTATTAGGATAAAAAGGTAACTCATGCTATACAAAACCTATTTTCTTACTCACATGATGATTCTTGGCTTCTACTTCTGATTCTTGTGATGATTTGTGAGATTCGATGCATGATCTTATGGTGATGCATGTTTAGAGCTTGATTTTAGGGTTCTTGAATGTCATTGGCTATTTCTTGGGTTCAAGTCATATTATTGTTGCGTGTGAGATTTTAGGTGTTTTGGACTTGAACTTGGCCTTGTTGTTGAAAATCCCCGAAGGGATTAATGTATACAGGAGGGTGTACCCGCGGGCGGAACGACAGGCAGGGCCCTACCTGCCGCCTCACCCGCGCGGAACCGGTCTCGTGGGTGTGTGTACCCGCAGGCGGAACCACGGGTGGTGGTCCACCCGTGGCCCTACCCGCGGGGTACCATATTGGTGTTGGCCGGGGATTTGTTCCTCGTTATTCTTTCTTCTCGGTATTGATGTTTTGACCTCCCGTTATTGGTTTAATGGGCTATTTGTGAGTCTTCTTGATGTTTCGTACGTCTAGAACGGTGTGTTAGGAATCCATGGTAGGATTTGGTATCTTGAATCGTGTTAAGGGTCTAACTTTGTGATTCGTTGGGCTAACGTGAGTCTTGAATGTTATTTGGAACAACTTTTGGTTTACCCGTTTGATAAGCATGCTAGTTTAATGTTGATATGCTAGTATGTGTGGTTTGTTCCTTCGAATTGGGATTGACAACTTGTGTTGACAATCATTTGGTGTTGGATTATAATCCTTTGTTGTTGAGTATGGTCTCATGTCTTTATTGTGATCTTTTGATTGATTCCTATGCTGTGATCGTATGCAATTCGTTGTGCCCTTTGTTGATACTTGATTGGGGCTATTGTTGAGCCTTAATCTTCTTGATGATATTGATGACTATGTGTGACTATGAATGTGATTGGTGGTGAATGACTTGAGCTTTGCTCACATGATTGGTGGTGTGTGATTATGAAATTAATGGTACCCTCGTGTACTGAGAGTTCGGCGGTGAATGATTGGTGGTGTAAGTGGGTGGAGGGGGGGGGGGGGGGGGCGACGGTCCCCGACGGTATAAGGTTGGACTCAGAAGTACAAGGTGGCGCTAGGAGGTAACGGTTGGAACTGTTATAAGGCCGGAGGTAGCCATAAGGTTGGAACAAGGCATAAGGTTAGAACTTGAATGTTAAACTTGATATTATGAAACTGATGATATGAAGTTGTCATTGGTGGATTTGAATTCCTTGCTTATGAGCATGTCTTGATGTACTCCACCTTGTGAATGGTGGGTTGCATCCTGAGTTGTATTGTCTATGTTGGTTGTGGTCTTGTCTTTGTTGTGAGGTTGATGATCCTCGTCTTTATTGAGAGTTTTGGATGAGTCTATTGATGTTGACTTCTTCTCCTCAATTTTGAAATGATATATATTGTATTCCTGTTCTTAATGGTTTTGATTATAACTATCTATACTATGCTATTTAACGCGTATTGATGGGTTACCAGCAATGTTCGCTGACCGGTGTTATCCCGTGATTTTACAGGTTTTGAGTAGATGCCGAGCGCGCTAGATGTGTACTTAGATAGTATAGATCCCATGCTAGACGCTTATCCTTTGTTGGCATGTGTGCCTTAGATTGTTAATGTTTTGTTAGATTTTTGTTGACTAGCCTGTGCACCCATGGTTTATGGGTGTGGCATAACGCTTACCGATTTTTATATAGCTTCCTCTTGACTTTTGTCTTGATGATTAGTTGTTTACCTTTGAGATTTAAGTTTTAAAAATGTTGAAAAATCGGGGGTGTTACAGTTGGTATCAGAGCCTAGGTTTGAGCCTAGGATGTTAAGAGTTAGACTTTAAGAAGTTAAGTGTGAGTTGAGACCATAAGTTGACCTTTAAGTACCTAAGTGTTTAGGACTTAGGACTTCTAAGACGCACGGTGAGCTGTGAGTTGTTTGTTGTTTGTTGTGTTTGTTAAGTTGCTTCTGCTTAGTCTTAGCATTATTGTCTTTAGCGTCGAGTAAGGGCGCGCAGTTTGTTGTGCCTACCGTAACCGTGTTGTTTCTGTGGAATCTCGTTATGGCTCCGCCTCGTCATCGTGCCCGTACCCCAGAGACGCCGACCAACGAGCAGCTGGCTCAGAACCTGCAGCATATGACCCAAACAATGCAGATGCTGAGTGAGGCCCTTTTGCACAACAACCCTCCTCCGCCGCCACCTGCTGGGAATCGAGACGTGGGACGTTTAGTTTCGGGACATATGTCGTCTGTTTTTGCTGGAGAGGAAGATCCGGTGCTGCTTGAGGAGTGGATCAAGTCTCTGGATAAGATCTTTGCGGTTGTGGGTTGCCCAGAGGATCGCCGCGTGGAGTTGGCTTCTTTTTACTTTAGCCACGAGGCCGATCTTTGGTGGGTGCACGAAGGCCCAGCGTGCCAAGAAGAGCCTGGATTTGACTAGTTAGCTTTGAAGGACAAGTTGAGGGAGAGGTTCTACCCTTCCCACGTGAGATCGGCTATGTACGAGGAGTAATTACATCTTCAGCAGGGGTCGTCATCGGTGGTGGAATACCACAAGCGTTTCCTTGAGCTAGTCCGTTTTGCTCGAATGTTGGTTCCCACCGAGTTGACAAAGGTGGAGAAGTTTGTGGCGGGACTCAACTACGAAGCCCGGAAAGCTTTGACCGTGAGCAAGCCTAGGACGTTGAATGAGGCCTACCTGAGCGCAGCGGATCTGTATCGGGTGCAACAGCTTCAACGGGGGTCCTTTGAGTTTGCCAAGAAGAGAAGTGAAGGAAGTGGATCGCATAGTTTCAAGAAGCCAAGGCAAGATTTCAGAGCCAGACCCGCACCTCCTCCGTCTCAAGGATCTACTCGAGCCGATAGCGGGGAGAAAGGAAGGCCTTTCGGGTGCAAGAGATGTGGGAAGGACCACATCGGGAAGGATTGTCAAGGGAACGCGCTTCAATGTTTCAAGTGGGGGAAAGGGGCCACAAAGCCTTTGAGTGCCACCTTCAGTCCCACCAGCAATCCTTGCCAGCTAGCGCGAGACCTAACGGGCCATCAGGAGGGAATTCCGGTCGAGGTGTGGGAGGAACAAAGCCTTCGGGCAGGGTGTTCGTGATGAGCCGGTCGCAGGCCGAGACTGAGGGTTTAGTGGAGGAAGAGGCTGCATGTAACGTTCTTGAGCCTACCTTTTACCTTGCGAGTGTACCTTTTTCGTGTTATTCTTGCACCTTTTTGTGTGATTCTCCTTGTTATCTTTTTGAGTGAATTCCTCCTTTGTGTCTTGCTTGTTCCTTTTGAGCGGTTAACTTTGGTTTTTAATTCCGAGGTACTATGAGAATACATTTAATTAAGACCTCACTCTTTCTTGTTACCTAAAGCCTAAATTGTTATCTTAAGCTCAGAATGGTTAATCATTAGAGAACCTCTAATAGTTAAGCCTAAAAAGCTAAAGGAAATTTAATTCGTAGCTAGCAAATTTATATAGCTTCCGCTTGACTTTTGTCTTGATGATTAGTTGTTTAACTTTGAGATTTAAGTTTTAAAAATGTTGAAAAATCGGGGGTGTTACAGCAAGGGCTTCCAACAAATTAGTATATCACAAATTTCATAGACTCAGACTCACACATTTCACAAACTAACAGTATGAAACTAGAGTTTGCAATAATCACTCAAATCAGTCAGTGCTTCCACCAGATATATAACATAACATATCATAAATTCTCACAAAATGCGAAAAACAATTCACAAACTGACAGTATCAAAGTAGGGTTTGCAAAAAACACTCAATAAGTCTGTGCTTCCACCAAATATTCACATAAGTGGCATAACATATCACAAAATCGCATAACAACTCATCATGCATGCATCAAATTTAAAAAACTAGGGATAGAAGATTTACTTCGTTTCTCACAGATACCAGGAGAACAAGGGCTTCTTTTTACCAATATCACCAGTAGGGCAGTAGAGGTCACAGCACCAGGCACCAGCAACAACGCCAACAAGGGCTTCCACCAACACCTGAGAGACCAGACCACCGGAATACCGGACTACACAACGGGTGGTTGTGGAACTGAGAGATTAAGAGACTAGGAGTAACGGAGTATTAGAGAGTGGGAGAGAAAACTCAAATGAGACTATGAGAGTATGAGAGTATGAGAGAATGAGAAAAACGGAGAAAGAAAGTAAGAAACCCTAGCTTCGACTGCGCGATGAGTAAATAAGTAAATGCGCGAAAGTAAGAAACCCTAGTATTGGCCCCACTCCTATTTTTTTTAGTAGATAAGCTCCAAAATAAGATGTGCCAAACAAGCACTAAAAGAAAATGCTACTGTGCTACGGAAATGAAGATACACCTGATAGATACCTATAATTAAACACATAGGAACAATTACAAGGATCCGAGCTGCATCAGTTTAGTATTCGCACATAGAACCTGCTTGATTATAGAAATTGCAAATATATAGTATTTGCAAATATGAAGCTGCTTCAATATAACAATGCACAGATTGCATTTTTTCCAAGGATGAAATAAGTGAAAGTAAACAAAACAAGGCAACTAAGCATACCATAAAATATCTCCTATAAAACATGGTGGCAAATACTTGTCCTGGATTATGAAACAAACAGCAACAGACATGCAAATTTTCTACCCAAATAAAGCATGTCCCAGAATAATCAAGTTTCTATCATCTGAAACCTAACTCTGGGTTCCAATGTGAAGTACCAGAATGCAGTATGCAAAACACAAGGTTGCAACCTAGTATAAACTAGTTCATCTGAGTCCTTGAGCTTGCTGCATATTATAAGCACCCCAGGCAGCAGGTCCAGGTGCATATTGAGAATAATCTTCAGCTCCAGTCTGCGACTGAGATAAAAGGAAATTTTAAATAATAAAACATTTTGGTTATTTCAAAGGAAATAAGAAACTATGTCTCACAAAAGAGTGCACTTTATAATCATTCAATTAAAATATTTTCTTGTGCAAACCTTAAAATTTGAAAAAGGATTAGGAATATATCAGTCTACATACATCATAGAAGGATATATTAAATGGGGTTTATATTTCCAAAAAAGAAATTATTTCATAATCACTCAATAGTCCTTCTGCAAAGCTTATTAGAGAAAATAAAATCTGTGTCGTTCCACTTACAGGATGCATGGGATTTACGGGGTTCATGCCATAACCAACAGGATAATAATTTCCGGCATAGCCTGACTCAGGATTAGCATAATTTCCATTATAACTTGCAACTGTTGAAAACAAAATCCTGTCAAGCAAGTTTAACAATGCCTTAATTGTTCATGACATTAAAACTTATGCATGCAAGTACAAAATTCTCCACCGTTGTGAAATATGGACTTCTAAATTAGTTTGCAAAACCTATAAAACTTAAAAGACTTAATAATTCAATTGAAATCAATTGAGGATATAAAACTATTAGAAGGTTCATACTTCAATCAAATTATTATAGGCAATTAACTTCATCAAGAAAATTCAAGCCAATAAACTAAGTCCAAAAAAAAATAAATAAATAAAAAATTACAGACTAAAAGTTGATCAAGAAAATGAAAGAAACTAACAAAAGCATTAAAGAAAGTGCACCAACTCCTAAAATTGAGGCCATTATCTGCAAGTTGGCAGATCGAGAGAGAGAGAGAGAGAATAAATACCTGGATTCCCAACTGAAGCTGCAGCACGAGCTTTCTTTTCTGCATTGGCCATCTCTGCACGGAGCTTTTCCAGTTCTCGAGACATTGAGTGCAAGTTCTTTTGCATAACCTGACCATGCTCATAGTTTGCTGCATATCCCTTCTTCTCATTCTCAATGGCAGCCCTACAGGACAACCAAAGGCAATATGGTCAAGAAAACATAGGGGCATAAGGCAAATGAAAACATTATTACCTTGATCGCTGCAATTCTTGTCTAAGATTTTCAATTTCTGCCTTTATAACTGGAGTTCGTTGCATATCTGCGTTCATCCTTGTCAAATCTTGAGTCATCCCCTGGAGTTCAGTAGTGAGCTCTTGTTTTGCAGCATTTAAATCTTTAACATCAGCACGTACTCGCATAAGCTCAACTCTCATAACTTCTACAGATTGGAGATCCATTTCCATCTTTGCAGACTTCTCATAAAGTTCTCTGATCTGCATGTCATTCTCAGCATACAAGGCACGTGCATATTGATCTGTTCGCTGAAGATCAAATTGTGTAACTTCTAGTTCCTCTTTAAGTGCTACATGAGTTGCAGCCAACCTCTGGTTGTCAACCAGTAATCCTTGAATATCCTCATGCTGAGCTGCAAGATGTTCCTCAAGGATAGCAGGGTGTGGAGCGATTTGCCTCTCTCTCATTTCCTCAAGCATTACAGGAACTGGCCCGCGGCCTCTTGCAAAGGGTGGTGGCTCATGAATAGGTGGAGCCATCACAGTGTGGGGTGCACCTTTTATCGAATGAGGACAAGATTTCGTCCAAACATTTATTTTTTCTTTTTATCAAGACGATATGTGCAAAAGCTCAATCCAATTTGATTCCTAGAGAATATAATATGAAGAACAAGTTAACAACTTAATTTTAGAAGGCCTTTAATCCATGTCGAATGCATGAAAGTAGTTATAGAAAATAGTGTTCAACCAGATGACGCGGAAAAGAAATCAGAATAGACGATGGTAAATACGCTTATTGATATTATATTAAAGCAGCAAATGCACCAATTATTTAAATGAAACTTTTAATCAACTGGAAAAGTTTTCGAACATTTCATTCCAGTTTCTCCCAAGCCTGGCATTTTTCACAATCAAATGAACGAAATCAACCAATCAGACAAAATTAGAAGAACACACACACCAAAAAATAAATAAATAAATAAATAAACAAGCAAACAAACAAACAAACCCTAGCAAGGAGCAACGTGGAACAGTTGTTAGAGGCAGGGGAAAAAAAATCAATTCAACCTCTCAGAAGAAGCGCAAAATCAATTTTACTAACACAGACCGCTAGCTCGAATGACAAGGAGACTAACCTTTGCCCAACCGCGATCGCTTCTCCGACAGGCTTCCGTGAAGGAGATATTGATCACGATGAAGTCACATTCTCTAGTAATCACAGAAAGCAAAACACTAACAAGGATGAAGAAGCAAGGGAGGATGCAATTAGCCAATTATAAGCTTATACGATCTTCGGACTTTGGACTACGCTTCATTCACTTCTCTCATTCTATCCGTTTTTTCTCCTAAATTTTTACAATAGTACAATTAGACGTTGAATTAAACAAAGGATAAATGGCATCCCGCATCATGAATCATTTGTGAGTATTTATGCTGCACCTTAATCTTTCAAAACGTATATTTAAATTCACTAACTATTATTTTTTTTGCACCTAACATCTTTTACAGGTTTTAAACAAGTTACCGGTAATAATATGAATTTTTTATGTTTTTTAATTTTCTTTTTTCATAAATACAAGATTCATACAGGTTTACCATCGCACCACCATTTTGCCCTCCATCATCACTGACGGGGCTGAATTTTAGGCTGTGCAAGCTGGGCTACCGCACAGGGTCCCCAAATTTTAGAGGATTCAATATTTAATTTTTACCTAGCTAGTTTCGAAATAAAAATTAAAAGTTTTCAATTAAATTTAAAAGGCTTCATGGAGGAATGGTAGGAATATGTGTTTTATTGTATTTTAACTTGGAGGTCAGAGGTTCGAAACTTGAGTGCTACTTTAACTTTGAACATTTTCCGTTTAAAAAAAAATCTTTTTGCATTTCAAGTTGCGCACACTACTACTACTGCTATTATTATTATTATTATTATTATTACATAATATATTTTTTGTTTCTTTCTTCTATTTTTTTTAATCCTTTTACATTACGAGTTTGAGCATATTATTATTATTATTATTATTATTTATTCCATAATATGTTTTTTGTGTTTTTTTTCTTTGCACGACAACATTTTATCACCTTATTATTAAAAAAATACAGTATTAATTTTAAAGATTATGATTTTGGTAGGGCTCCATTTATTTATCCGAACGAGGCCACCAAAATCTAAAAACCGGCCTTGATCACTGACCCTCCCAACCCTCGACTGCAATATCAGCCACATCCCGGCCAGTTCTACCATGGGCACCCACCGCTAGTTTCACCGCAACCGGCTGACGACCCATTCGTCGATCACCATACCCCCCCCCCCCCCTCCCCCCTCTAAGTATCTCCTCATCGTCCATATGTGATGGCTATCAAGTTCTTCGCTCGCCGTGTAATCAAGGCTCTAATTTTGATAATGATCCATATGGGAATTAGACTTCAACCGCTAATTTTAGTCATGGTAATGGTGGAGCTAAGAGAATGCATACAGATGATCCAAGCTCAATTATGAATGAAAGTTATGCGAAATCAGCTAGGTTTTTGGTTGATGAAGAAATGAAGAAAGGAGATTAAAATTGATTCGTAATCATGGTGGACCAGCATGTCAGGAAATCAGTAGTCGTGGAGATCATGGAAACTCTGAAGGATATGGAAATGGTGCGAACAACTTTCGTGACTCGAGATGCGGCAATTTGGATAGAAAACAGGGATATTATGAACTGCAGGCTAGTAGTGGATAATACAGTTTGTGTTCAGAGAAAGATCGAGCAAGAACTGCCTAGTTATCCTTGTAAATTTCTTCTTTTTGTGTTTTTAATGAAATACGTAATTACGTACTGTTATGGGTTTGTGGAAGAAATGGGTATATATATATATATATATATATATATATATATATATATATATATATATATATATATATATATATATATATATATTGATGGATATATTGGACCCGGAACGAACCGACCCGGAGAGACGGACCCGAGAAGCCCCTCGGCCCAGTCAATTGGGCCGTGGCCAAGTTGGCCCAAGGCATCTCGGCCTTGGGCCGAGTCGGCCACAGATGGGCTCGGTACACCCGAGCCCACCACCATGGACTCGGCCACTGCCGAGCCGGTCCATGGTGGACTCGGCTAGGCCGAGCTCGGCCCGCCTTGGACCCAGTCCCGGAGGGGACGCGGTCAAAGCGGGCCGATCCAACTAATCCCGATTCTAGGGGTGCGGTTAGGGGGTTTGAGCTGATATAAAAGGACTCCCTCTTGTCCTAAACAATGACACGACGACACAACATAACAGATTCCTAAATTGCTATCTTCTAGCCTTATTGTCCTAATCAAGCCTTGTAATAGCTTATTAGCGATAATTAATACAATATACGGTCCCTGCGACCTTATTATATCTCTGCGATCTTATTATATATATATATATATATATATATATATATATATATATATATATATATATTGGTTTGGGTTGATGTTTAGGTGGCAAGGATGTTTTGGCCATCAATATTTGAGATGGGGTCGTTTTGCCGGCAGTGCAGAAGATTGGATGTGGATACGCAAATCACTAGCATGAGATGTTGGCTACGATACAGGGAAATCCGTTCGTTTGGAGTCTGAATCTCTGCCAAAAGTAAACCGGCCGTTTATAGTTCGATTTTCATTGCCAAAAGTAAGTCGAATGTTTCTAGTCCGATTTTCATATTATTTTATCGGATATTTAGGCGTGATTTGATGGGGAGAGCTGGTGTCAGCATTTAAATTTTGTTTGTTTTTTTCTATTGTCCGATTCTGAGTTGTGAGAATCAATTTGCATGCGCTGAACACTCCAATTTTTCTTCCCAAGCAATTTGTCTCCCCAATGCACTGAACAGTCCAATTTTTCCAAAGCAAGAACATGTGTCAGCAAGATTTCCATGCAATTTCTGTTCCCAAGGTAGTCATTTCGGACTCCACTCACAATTCACCCAATAAATATCATTTCCCTTCCTTTTCCCATACACTTTACAATTTCAGGCAAATTTGTTTTGTTCTCTCTTCAAATTTTCGGACGCCACTTCGCTAAAAAAAAATTTCTGTTATCTCCAAAGCTTCTTCCCAAGCCACTTCTCCCATTGAAGAATCAAGTTTGGATCAACACTGCATCTTCCCAAACATCTTCTCTACACTGCATCTTCTCTACACTTGTGCATCTTTGAGGTAAAAAAATAATAATAATAATAAAAAAAAATATTTGAGTTACTAGAATTATTATTTCGTTATGTTGTTTTATTGTATATTATATCGCATTGTAGCATATTATTTCTTGTTTTAGTGGTAAAATGAAGTTTAGGAAAAAAAATTCGGACTTTGATGTATTTAGTGTTTATAACATTTATTTAACAGAAAAAAATGTTGTATATAGCTACTGTAATTACTTGTAGTTGACATATTTTTTTGGTCGTTTTTTTTTTAAATGTGGTGTATATATTTTTTATTGTTTAAAAAAAACGAAAGGATGTTAGTTGTTTAACAAATGAATAGATCACCCGTTAATTGTTTAAAAAAAAAAAAAAAAGATCACGGGAGTGGCAATTAATGAAAAAAATCGAGTTTCTCAAGTCCGACTTTGATGTTTAAAAAATATTTTTTTTTTAAATGCAGTTTATATATATATTTTTTGATGCCTCCATATTAAGTAGTAGATTGAGGATATTATTATAATTTGAACCGGACTGATGAAGTCCGAACCAAAAAAAAAAAAAAAAAAAGTTCGGAGTGTATAATTATATATCTTCAATGTCATAGAAATATGTAAAAAGAAAATGTAAGCGTAGGTAAATTCTCAAAAAATATTTTATTTATGTACTTGAAAAATGAATATTGGTACAACACATGTTATAATAGGTGTATTGTGTATTTTTCATCATAAACCAACCAACTATATATAAAATGAATAAATAGAATGTGACTGTCCCACGAGTTTAACTCACTGATTTAGTAGAAATTAAGATTTCAATCTTGATAGCGGGCAGTGTGGGAGTTGTAGCCTATCTGAATCGGATGTGACTAAAATAAGTGTTTATATTCTAAATGCAGTTTATATATAATTTTTGATGTTGAAATGCAGTTATTATTTATTTATTTGTTAAGTCATAATTTTTCTTTTCGATTTGCTTTTATAATTTAAACCGGATTGACGAATGCCGAATCAAAAAAAAAAAAAAAAAAAAAAAAAAAAAATCGGATAGTGTTTCGGACTTTTGAAGTCCGATTTAAAAGTTCCGAGTTTCGGGTTTGTTGAACTTGTTGAAATTTATTTTTTTGGGTAATGGATAGGACAAACAACAATTATGTACATAACTTGCTTTTAAAAAAAAAAACAAAAAAACAAAAAAACAAAAAAAAAAAAAAAACTGACGTTAGTTGTTAAAAAAAATGCATTAAGTAGATTCAGCTTATTATTTTCATAATTTAGACATATTTATACTAAAATATTTAAACAACTATTACATACATAATTTAGACACAATTTAGATTTATTATTAGTCCGTAAAAAAAAATATGGCGTCGAGACTGTTGTAGTCCGACTTTCGGAGTTATTCGAATTTAAGTGTTTTTAATCTTCAAACTTGTTATTCGAAGTTGTTTAAATGTTTTTAATTTGTAAGTATTATGAATTGTTTTGATACAGTTATGGCAAATGACCGAGTGCATCCCGGGCCACTAGAGTTAGGTGCGCTAGCATTTCAAACCCGTCACCGTAGTAGAGCAATTTGGACGGATCCAACGTATGACGTCCAACTTAAAGCCGTGAAGTATGATACGTTAACGAGGTGTGCAGCCGTGGATGATGAAAGAGTGAAAGAGTGGCTGCGTATATCTGGTTTTTATGGTGTTTCTCAGCTCACCAAAATATAGAGCGATGGAGGCCGGAGGTCCACGCTTTCCACATGCCCTTCGGTGAGGTTGGAATAACTCTTCAAGATGTAGAAGTGTTATTCGGCCTTAAGGTCGATGGACTTTTGGTGACGGGGGATGATACAATTGGCACTACAACACAAGTAAAGTTAATATGCCGTGAGTTGCTGGGATTTGAGCCTGCCAATCAGTTCCTGACAACGACCATGATTCACGGGTCAGTTGTCCTGGCTGTTCAGGCTCTTACTGCGGAGAGCGGAGAAGAAGATGTGTTGTTGGCAACACGACGTTTCATATTTTATTTATTAAACGGTTTTTTATTTCCCAACACAACCAAAGAGAAATATAAATTATAATTGCTCCCGTACCTTAGTAATCTGTACGTTTGTGGTGAATATTGCTGGGGTTCGGCTGTTCTGGGATATCTTTACAGGGCGTTGTGTAGAGCTTCCGAACACGACAAACGTACAGTGTATGGGTGTCTACTTCTAGTCTAGATTTGGGCATGGGAGAGGCTGCCTATGTTTACGCTGAGAGGTGTATTGCCGCGCGACCAAATCGCTGACTACCCTATTGCATACAGGTAACGATCTCTAAATTGGCTGCATCAATGTTTTAATATTGAAGTAGTAGTATTTATTTACTTTGAAATTGTTGTAGGTGGGTTTGTCGGCATTCTTGGTTAGCAGTGTCTGCGCACACTGTTGTAGCCTATCGCGATCAATTAGATCACCTAGCTGAACATAGAGTAAGTAATTTTACGACTATGAATACTTGTAAGGGAATATATTCTTTCCAACCAAGTCCAAACAAATTATTCACGATAAGCTACTTCTGAAAAAGCAATGTAAGGGAATATATTCTGTCATAATATCTTTTCCTATATCTTTGCTTACTGATTTATAGGCTTATTTATAGCCTGCTCTACATTACTGCTACGTGCTCAGATTGAAGATCACTTGCTCAGATTGCAGTTCCCATTCTACAACTTCAAAGCATTCATCATCTTCTTCAGAACAATTCCTATGATACGGTATAGTTTTATTTTTTAGTTTTTATTTTTTAATTTGAATTTCGTCTTTAACCGAAATATGAATTATATTAGGGTAAAACGTATGTTGTGTTTGTTGGTCACCAACCGGGAATATATGACAATTGGGAGGATGCAAAAAGTCAAGTGCATCGCTTTAGCGACAATTTGTATAAATCATATAACTTGAGGGATGAAGTCATTCAAGCTTTCAACAGATTCATAAGTAGTCAACGACATGATTCCCGAGCATGCAATTATACTTCCGCTTCAAGTTCCAGCTCCACCGTACCAAATACAAACACATATTCGAATGAGGAAATCTTAGCTCGTATGCAAGATGAACTCGCATGTGAGAATCACGAGCACGCGATGAAAGTGGATGCAATCGTTGAAGAATTTAAACATCTACTTTCGAAATAAGTTAACATAATGTTTTAATAAATATTTGCATGAGTTTACTTCATTGTTGTTTTGCATGTGTTTAAGTTTAATGTTTTGTACGCATAAACCAACCCTATCAGTCCGAAAATAACAAAAACAATTTATAAAAATTTGTGACTAAGAGTGTGACATTCATATTTTCCTTCCATACTCCAATTACTTTTCAAAAAAGTTATTTTTGATAATGACAACACTATCAGAATAGAAAAAAAAAATTAATTCGCACTATGTGACAACATTAGGTGTCTCACGAAATTTCTTTTGTGAAAAGTGATTTTATACAAAAGTAATTTATGATAGTGACTACACTTTCATAAAGGTGATAGAGACATTTAAATTGAAATAATTCGGACTCTAGTACTACGAATTACATAAACAATTTTTTTTTTTTACTCCGGATACATAGCACACTACTATAAAAACAACTAAAGCAAGCCCCACAACTGGACCACAATACTTCTCTATCCATAATACATTTCTTTCAACAAACTTTGCGAATCCCATATCTAGAAAGAGCCAAATTTATTATTCTCAAACTCCAATTTTATTAAAATGATAGCTATATCTACATATGTTTTCGTTTTTTGGGGTGGGGAAATACAAACCAGTGGGGCACCGCCACAGATAAATTACTCACTACAGCCTCGAGTAGTTATTCCAATACCATCAAATATTGGACTCATTCCTATGGAGTTAATGATCAGACAAGCAATGGGAATCAACATTGAGGACAATGTTGAGCTGATTGGAAAAGTGATAGTGGATGCTACAATGGGTAGCACACACTATCTACTGCACATTGCGCGCGAAAGAGACTGGGAATACTTCATACGACAAACAATGTCAAATGGACAGTTACATGTGTACGTTCAGACAGAAGATATTTATGGTGGCGGATTCAGAGTTAACGATGTCGATCCACCGGAGGAACTTCCATCTGAGTCAACAATGGTGGAAAGTTCATCAGAAAGTGATGCCACGTATCAACCTGATGAGTCCATACCGTCCGAGAGTTCAGGAAGTACGGAGGACGAAGACATACAGGAGTCAGTTCCATTTGACTTCGATTCAATGAATGTAACTACTCAAATGAATCAAGGTCGAGGTCAACGGTTGCCAGATTCTGCGGTCCCGTCTTACCACTCACCAATACCACCGCCAACAACTGCATTTGCATACGGCTTTACGGAGAGGGACGATGATGAAACCCTTTCATACGACCCCTCCACAAATGTTATTGCGGTCGGAATGATATTCCCGGATTTTCCGACGCTTAAAAAAGCAGTAGGAACATACAATATGCATCACGGGCGGGACTACGTCACCAATCACAAAAAAAAAGGGCAAATTGGAAGGTCTCCTGTACACATTATACCTCAACACCATCTTGTCCGTGGACATTATCCGCAAAGAAATTGCATGGGGCATCTACTGAATGGCAGGTCACGAAGTTCTTTCAGCCTCACGAGTGCACAGTTCAATACAACCAGGGGCCCGCGGACAAACTGTGCACCAGCTCATTAATATGTGATTTGATCTTTCTAAAGATCACTACGGATCCACAGTACAAAATCAAACACACCAAGTGGATGTGAGACAACGATATGGTGTCGGCATTTCGTACCGGAAAGCTTGGTATGCCAGACACAAATGCATTGAAATGCAGTACGGGAATTACCGGCACTCGTACAATGAGCTACCACAATTCTGCCGGCAGTTGCAACTCTCCAACCCTGGAACCATTGTGGAAATCATGACCACACAGAACGCAGAAAGGGTTACAGGGTACGCGAATTTCTTGTATGCATTGTAGGCGTTCAAGCCCGCAATAGATGGTTTCCGCTACTGCATCCCTGTTATTTTTGTTGACGGTACCCACTTGTACAACCAGTACAAAGGCCATCTCCTGCTAGCCTGCGGTATCGCCAACAAGGAAATTTATCCACTGGCATATTCGATCGTGGACTCCGAAAATAATGCCAGTTGGACTTGGTTTCTTCGACTTCTGGCCGAAAATGTCTTTCCACATCACAATTCAATGTGCATCATCTCGGATAGACACGCTAGAATCGATGTGGCATTTAATTCCATCCAACAATTGAAGGGGGGCCGTGTCAAACGCCGGTTTTGCCTACGTCACATTTGCAGCAATGTCATGTCAAGGGTGACCAGAAATAGGCGGTTACGAAAATTAATATGGGAAGCTGGTACTGCTGTGACAAGGGATCAATTCCTTCAACACATGCAGGCAATCCAAATTAAATGGTTGGCTGCATACGCCTATCTTGCCGACATTGATGTCGAGAAGTGGACATTATCTCACGACGATGGTCACCGGTACGACATCATGACAACCAATCCATCTGAGTCACTAAATAATTTACTAAAGTATTGTCGGATGTTACCCATCACGGCAATAGTCCGAATGACTTTTCACAAGTTACGGACTATGTTTGCCGACAGGCGTACTGCGGGAGAGGGGATGCAGCAACACGACCTGCTTTTCACGACAAAGATTACCGATGATTTGTCAGCTCGAAACAATGAAGCAAGCGGTGCAAGCGTTCAACGTTTCAATGACGCACTCGGAATCTATGGTGTTGCCCTAAATATTGGTTATGTTTCCCAAATTCAACAAAATCACTTTCAAGCTAAGTGAACCTGACGGAACGTACGTGTAACTGCGGCTTGTGGACCGTCAACGGCTTACCTTGTACACATGTGATTGCAGCATGCAATTACCGAGGGCAAGGATTTGGCCCATTAGTGCCAGAAGTTTACTCGGTAGAAAACTACAGGAACTGTTATGCCGGTAATTTTTACCCCGTAGACGAAAGAATTCAATGTACCGGTCCAGTTACTTGCCTTCCACCAATTTCTGCTAGGCAACCAAATCAACGAGGCCAGCGCCGAACACGTAGGTATCCAAATGAAATGGACTTGGGTTCAAATCGAAGTAGAAGATGTAGGTATTGTCGGAGGACAACTCATTCTTCCCCGAACTGTCCTACTTTGAATCATCATTGAAATAATGCTTTGTTTATATTTTTAATTATCCAAATTTTTCATCTAAATTGTAATTATGATATGAAGTATGGACATTCTACATACTAAGCATGAACCTTGTACATACTGACCATGAACCTTCTTCTTATTTCGGAGTCCATTTATTTCCGCAAACATGAAGTCGGGATGAACACAACAAAAAAAAAAATATGAATACATTCGGACGATTGACGTCCGAATATTAGATTGAATAAGTTAATTGCCGCACGCATAGAAGAATCTAGAATAACCAAATATATATATATATATATATATATATATATATATATATATATATATATATATATATATATATATATATATATATATCGGATTGCAAAACTCTGAATCTCAATAATCAGAGACTCCCTTAGGTCGGATTTCCTTGTCTAGGGTCCAGCATTTCATGTACGCAATTCCCGTATCCACCAATCCTACTTTTTTCTTTCCTGTTTCTGTTTATGATTCAGCTGAATGTCATTTATTCCCAGCGAGCAGAGTAGATGACGACGGGTCCTTTTTCAGGGCAAGCAAAGCAGCGGCGACAATCTCCAATCCTCCTTTGGGTGGTGGTGGTCGGCAATGTTGCGACGAATGCGTAATGGGCGGTGGTGTATTTGATAACACACTAGTTTTATGTATTTGATAAATTACATGTGTATAAGCTATTTACTTTTCAATTTCATTTTATACATACAATAAGTTCATAACAACACTAAAATATCATTTTAATTATACTACATGTTAATGTGTTAATATACATAGGTAGGGATGTCAATCGGGCCAGCCCACTCGGTTTTGGGCTAACCCTGTCGGGTTGTCGGGCTAATCGGTTAATTAATATTTTATTCTCGGGTTCGGTTTGGCCCTAACCCTAAACTTCGGGTTGTCGGGCTAATCGGGCGGGTTGAACAATCTGAACTAAAATTAGAAACTGAAAGTGAGTACTCATATTTAGAGTAGGAATAATAGCGGGGCGGGGCGGGGCGGGAAGTATACTCCCTATCTCCATCCTCAACGAGAAACTGAGAAATTTAAAATAGCACCTATCTACGTTCCCGCGGAGAATTTGACAGGAACGAAGAAGTTTCCGTCTTCATTAACTTTTAATCAAAATATTAAATTAATGTTGTTTTAAATTTTAAAAAACTAAAAACTTAAGTTTTAATTTAAATTATATATATATATATATATATATATATATATATATATATATATATATATATATATATATGATGGGGATATGGGACCCGGGGGTCCATTTTATTGGCATAGTATTGGCCCAAGTGGGGGTGGTGATGATAGGAGATTGGCCCAAGTCCTATTGGGCTAAGAAGACAAGGGGGCGTGGTGGCCCAAAACCGAGGAGAGAGAAGGGCAGTGCGCCCCCAGATTGTCAACGGCACCCCCCCCCCCCCCTTCCCGAGGGGGTGCTGGGCGGGTGCGCCGAGCATGGTGGACCGGGGTGGTATGCGCGGGAGTTTTGGAAGTATGACGAACGTGCCCGCTTGCGTAGCGATAAATGGGGAAGTGGGGATGGATTGCATGGGACACGTTGACGCTAGAGGAGGAGGGGGGCTTGCTATAAATAGGGGTCCTGGATCTCTGGCTAAGGGCAACTCAAACACGACAAGCACTACGGTCTAGTGGTCTTGATCTATACTTTCAACCCAGCTACCTGGGTTCGATTCCTACCAGTAGCATAGTTAGCTATAGCCCACCACGTGGGCCTTATTCATTGTATTTGGGCCATCATTCTAGGCCTGTACCTCGGGCTTTGTACGTATTGTTTAGGGCCTAGCGCCCCGGGTAATAAAGTCAGTACTTTCATACCCCCGTCCTATGTTCCTATACCCGGTTTATGGTGGACCCAGTCCCAATAAAACCATCATTGGCACCGTCTATGGGGCTCGCTACGATTAGCCCGTGTTTGTAGTCTCTACCATCCTAGCAAGGTTCCGAGGTACGCCCAAATGGTTGATCCGCAAGAGGAGCTACCCTATAAGGTAACACACTTAGCACATCGAGACGCTACTCTGGTGAGTACACTTGAACACTTAGTTAGGTAAAGATTGTGTTTATTTTCTCGAACTATGTGCCCCTATGTGCTCTGCATGCTTGGCCCACAGCCACCTCAACTATATGCTCCTATGTGCTCTGCATGCTTGGCCCGCGACCACCTCAACTATGTGCTCCTATGTGCTCTTACGTGCTATGTATGCTGGCTCTACGGCCATGGCGGATGGGGCATGTGGGTTATCGCAACCCACATGTGAGGACTTGCCCCCTGGCAAGCCGCATGGCGTTGACGGATGGGGCGTGTGAGTTATTGCAACCCACATGCGCGAACTTGCCCCCGACAAGCCACATGGCGTTGGCGGATGGGGCGTGTGGGTTATCGCAACCCACATGCGCGGACTTGCCCCCGGCAAGCCGCATGGCGTTGGCGGATGGGGCGTGTGGGTTATCGCAACCCACATGCGTGGACTTGCCCCCGGCAAGCCGCATGGCGTTGGCGGATGAGGCGTGTGGGTTATCGCAACCCACATGCGCGAACTTGCCCCCGGCAAGCCGCATGGCGTTGGCGGATGGAGCGTGTAAGTTATCGCAACCCACATGCGCGGACTTGCCCCCGGCAAGCCGCATGGCGTTGGCGGAAGAGGCGTGTGAGTTATCGCAACCCACACTACCCCATCCTACAATCTTCAGTTACCTTCATCCTTTAAAAAAAAAAAAAAAAAAAAAAAAAAAAAAAAAAAAAAGAGAAGGTTGCATGCATGTGTAGCATGGAGAAGGAGCAAAGACATCCATTGAATATTTAAAAGAAGCATGCAGGTGCATCATGGAGAAATCAACAAAAGCATACTAAATAAATGCAACAAAAGAGATGTACAGTGCAAGAAGCATCCAAGAAGTGATAATAGAGGAGTCACTTTGACCTCTCGACACTAGGTGATGAAGCGAAGGCCAGGGCAACGTGCGGTGTGTGGCAGAGGTACGGAGTAATGGCGTGACGCACAACAATGGTGATAATGGAAGGTGGCGACGAGAGGTTGAGAAAGGGAAAGAAAGGAGGTGGTGATACCGAATTCTACTTCCTTTAGGCATCAAGATACCTAAAAGAACTGGGGGACTTGTGATGGGGATATGGGACCCGGGGGTCCATTTTATTGGCATAGTATTGGCCCAAGTGGGGGTGGTGAAGATAGGAGATTGGCCCAAGTCCTATTGGGCTAAGAAGACAAGGGGGTGTGGTGGCCCAAAACGGAGGAGAGTGAAGGGATTTCTGAGGCTATACCGCCGGCGGCCAGCCGGCGATCCACCGGGGTGGTGGCCCGCCGGACTCCCGGCGGCGGGGCGTGGCCAGCGGAGGCCACTGGCCATGGGGGGTGCATGGGGTAAAAGGCAGTAGTCTATGAGGGCGCTGCTGCCAGTGGGTTTTAAATCCCCGCCCTCCCGCTTTGCAGCATGAGGCCAAGACCATCAGACCACACCATCACATGAGTACCAAAGCGCGACAGCATATATATGACCGATATTTGCGGGCAGGGCAGCCTCCACCACGGGCCATGACCGGCCGGCGGCGGGTTCCGCCGGCCACCTCAGGCCGAGGCGCGGCCAGCAGGGGCAATGCGCCCCCCAGATTGTCAACGGCACCCCCCCCCCCCCCTTCCCGAGGGGGTGCTGGGCGGGTGCGCCGAGCAAGGTGGACCGGGGTGGTATGCGCGAGATGGATTGCATGGGACACGTGGAAGCTAGAGGAGGAGGGGGGCTTGCTATAAATAGGGGCCCTGAATCTCTGGCTAAGGGCAACTCAGACACGACAAACACTACGGTCTAGTGGTCTTGATCTATACTTTCAACCCAGCTACCTGGGTTCGATTTCTACCAGTAGCATAGTTAGCTATAGCCCACCACGTGGGCCTTATTCTTTGTATTTGGGCCATCATTCTGGGCCTGTACCTCGAGCTTTGTACGTATTGTTTGGGGCCTAGCGCAGTCAGTACTTTCATACCCCCCTGTACATTAGCATTACGTTATATATATATATATATATATTTATTTATTTATTTCATGTATGTTCGGTTTCACATCACTTTTATAATAAAAAATAATTTTCAATAGTTCGGGTTGTCGGGCTAGCCCTTTTAATTTCAGGCTAGCCCTATCGGGCCATCAGGCTAATCAGTTTCGGGCTCGTCGGGCTAATGTGTTTTATTAGGCTAGCACGTTCGGACCGGCCCTGTCGGTTTTGGTTTTATCGGGTTGGCCTATCGGGTTCAGGCTAAATTGACATCCTAACATAGGTTCATTATAACAACATTAAAATATCATTTAATTATATATACATAGGTTCAAGGGCAATTTATATCGTGCACCAAGGTGCGCATTGCATTGCACACCCTAATGCAAAAAGATATCGTTTCACAAACTTTATAAAAATAATACACATAATAGTAAAACAAACACACATAACTGCATAAAAAAATACACATACTCCCTATTGCGCCTCCCAAAACGACGTCATCTTGAGAGGCGTGCTCTGTGAGCCGTGGTGCAAGGTATAACGATTGCATATCATAGTGGCCCACATAGACACATAGTTGTGTGTGGACATGGCCTACCATATAACAATTGCATATAGTAGCTACGGGTTTTCAAAAAAGAAAATGCTATAACCACTATATTTTCCATAGCAAGTTCTAAGAGGTCACCAAAAGGTCCGGTCCAAAATAAAGGACAGAATTCAGGAACAGGGATAGTGTCAATATGAAAGAACAAAAGCACAGTAGCATCACGAAACATAGCATTCAGTGAACCAAACAAGTGATTAAAACCAGCTATCCAGCATCTGCAGCAATCAGCCATAAATGGAGAGAGTTATAGCATATCATTCAAAAGCTCAATGGTTCTCCCGATCGATCTGCTCTAAGTCCTCGGAGGTCAAGTCATAGATGTTAAATGCCTTGCAAAGCTCGGGTAGAGTTTTATCTTTGATCAACCTCGACATGGAAAGGGAAGTTAGAACCAAAAGGCCCTTAATACGCAGGTAGTCCGCAGCCTAAAAGATCAAATAACAACCATAAGGATAAATGTACTGTTTAATTACTAAGGTGGGGGAATGGAAAATTAAAGAACAAAAAGACAGAAAATGCATTTACTTGCATTTGAAAAACAGAAAACAGAGAAGGGAGAGAGAGGAAAACAAAAACTAAAGTAAACACAAATATTACATTCATCATAAAATGTAATCATTGATACAATTTCAATCATAAAAACCACCGGGCCAAACATTTGAAATGAAGCAACTCATCATCGCACTACCTTTTAGTTTAAAAAGGGAACAAGTATAATTCATTTTTTTCACAAGAAAAATAATAAGATGAACTCAGCTCTAAAGAGTCAAGACTAGCAACTATTTCAATGTTTTCCAGTAGAGCTTTCAAGTGTGATAATCATCTTAGCTACAGTAGATGAGGTTAAGCATGCATTGATATACTTGAATAACAATCGTTATTCATAATCTATACTTACATGTCACAAGAGAATCAGCTGAAAACGCCAATCATATACCACATCAGTCTAAATACTAATGTATTCATTAACTTTTTTTCAAAATTAAAAAAAAAAACAATAAACTCACTCTCAAAACTAGCATAACTATTTCAATGTTTTGCAATGGAGCTTTCAAGTGTCTGATAGTCATCTTAGCTATCAGTAGATGATGTCATGATGCTAGAATAACAATTGTTATTTGTCATCCATATTTGCATGTCACAATAGAATAAGCTGGAGACACCAATCATATGCCATATCAGTCTGAACACTAAGTATTCTATCATCTTTTGTTTTTTTCCCACAAAGGAAAAAAAAAAAAAGAAGCTCTTAAAACTAGCACAACTGTTTAAATGATTTGCAATAGAGCTTTAAGTGTCAAAGAGAACTAACAGAAAACAACAATCAAATACTACATCAGTTGAACACTAACATCATTTAGCATTCAGTTGTATAACTATCTTCTTTTTATGGAGAGAATTCAAAATTAGTATACTACCTAATCAATTACACCTAACACAACTTCTAGTAATGGAGAAACCAGCCTTTCATGGAGGGGAGAGATCTGAGCTAAAATCAAGAACAATTAAAACATAACAGTCCAAACGAAGTGTATTCAAAAGAAAACAAAAAAAACAAAAAAAAAAAACAAAAAAACAAAAAAAAAAACAGTCAAAACTAAGCAACTAGCATAGAGTTCCTACTATTTCACAGTAATAATCAAGCTAATAATCATGGATATGCAATGGAAATACAAATAATGTAATCACAACAAATTAAACAAACTTGAGGAACATATATAAATTATTTTAAAGCTTCAGATCAGAATCATAAAATTACCAGTATGAGGTCGCACAGAGTGTCCATATCGACTTTTATAAACTCGTCATCGAAGGTCTTGAGATCAATCAAATTCAAAGTCGAGGCGTGAGCCTTACAGTACTTAATCACCATTGCGAGGATCTTTCCGGTAACTTTCGGAATGGGAATGCAGTCCCTGACGGCATCGTCGATCATGCGTTTTAAAAATTGCGACTGCTGAATCGCAGTCGGCGACAGCTTGAATATCTCTCCGTCAGAACTCCTAACCATCAGCTCCTCCTCCTCTCCATCAAAAGTCTTCTTCTCCTCCCCCTCCTCTCCATCGGAACCCTTCTTCTCCTCCGATCCATCGGAACCGCTCACCGTCGAGGAACTGCTCACCGCCTTCTTCTCCGCCTCCGACGACATCGTTGCGATAGCAGTTAGTGATTGTGCGGAATTTTGGTAGAAAAGGACACGGAAATTTGCGATTATGAGCGTCGAGACATTCTGTAGAAAGATTTTATAGAAGCGGTGAAACGATTATACTCCAAAACTAATTCATTTTGTTATTACTGATCTAACCCTAATCGTATTCAAAACTTCGTTCGTGCCATCCCTGGGCGGCTGGGCAAATATACAACACTACAATGTACACCATTACACTCCCACACTATAGATAATTAATATAAGGTCCCTTAATATAATGTAGGTTCATTTTTAATATATTGTGACTAATTACATAGCTGAATTGTAAGCACATTTATTGAGGAGTTAATTACCAAAATGATCCTCTGACTATCGCAAAATTACAAATTTGGTCCTCGATTATTTTTTCTACCTAAAAAAGTCCTCAACTATGCAAAAGTTAACCAAAATGGTCCTATGTTAGGTCAGCTGTTAAAAATTTGTTTAAGTCAAGGGCAATAGAGGAATTTCACTTTCATTGTTATTTTTCTCCTCTTATTTAGCCAATTGAACCCTAGCTTCACGCATTCTTCCATTTGTTATTTCCTTCACGCATTCTTCTTCTGAATCTCCATTGGAGGACCACGCTTGGACTTCAACAACAATCTTGAAGATAACGTTCATATGCCGACAGCGAGGAGAGCAATTGTCATCCCAAGATTTACTATAGCGACACACCCCTCTCTTATTGTCACTGTGGGCAAAGATTGAAAATGCGAACATCATGGACGAATAAAAACCCGGGAAGAAGGTATTGGGATTGAGCTTACGATAACCAAGTGAGTAACATTGAAATTATCATTTGGTATACTCAAAAATTTTGTATACAAGGGAGGACTGACTGATTTTTTTTTTTTTTTATATTGTGGATTTAATTATTTGGTATACTCATAGATTTTGTATACAAGAGAGGGATAACTGATTTTTTTTTTTTTAATTTTTTTGTTGATTATGGATTTATTTATTTAATTATTTGGTATATTCACAAATTTTGTATACAGAGGAGGGTTGTTGGTGGGTGTGGATTTGTGAGATGGTTTGACCCACCCATGTGTTCAAGATCAAAGATGATTATTCCGGGATTGCTAAGAAGAATAAATCGAAACGAGCACGAAATTGATTTCCTAAAAGCAAAGCTTGGATACACTGCTAGTACTAAAGCTTCTAATTGCTTTTAATTCTATTGTGAATCAAAAGTTAAAGTGTGTATGTAGAGCTGTGATTATTTTTTTTTTTTGTTTCTGTAGCAATGTCAGTGTTGGTTAGTAATTTCAATGGTATTGGTCATGGGTTTGGAAGTTTATTCTAGCTTAATGTAGTGTAGAAGTTGAATGTTCAATTTATGAGCAATGAAGGGTAACATGCATTCTTGACATTTTCACTCCATCTTTGGTTAGTTCATCCGCAGATTTCTTCCTTAATTTTCTTGGTCTGCCAACCTTTTTTGTAAACAACGGATGCTCCAATGCAGGGATAAGCCCCTTCTGCTTGTCAGATATGAAGGTGTATTCCTGTTGAGAAAAAGCATCAATCTGAAGGTCTATGCACAACCACTCCAAAAACCAACACCAAGAATCTTTATTCTCCCCTTCAACTATGGCATAGGCAATAGGGAATAGCCCTTCATTCCCATCAATCCCAATTGCAGTAAGCATCATCCCCCTTGCTTTGTCCTTAATATGACAACCATCTACCCCAATAACCTTTCTACAGTACTTGAACCCATCTCTACAAGCCTCCCAACACATATACATTCTAAGAAATCTATTCTTTCCTCCCTCATACTGTAAATCAGATAACTTTACCTCACATCTGGATCTTGGATTTGTTTTTTGTATCTCTAAACGGTAACTTCATATTCTGTTGAAGTTATCTTCAAGCTCACCCTTTATTTCACGCCTAGCAAAGTCCAATGCCTTATAGGCTTGCCTTTTACTTAAAGAATGGTGTTCATCAATGCAGACTGCCTTTCTAAACTCACCCATCTTCCAATTACTATTTCCAGCAATTTTTGTTTTCCATCTCTTTGCAACTAAGGATGAAGTTATCAACTTGTTGTCACTCACCCATGGACAATTAACATGCTCATCATTGAAAACAGTCACCTTCCAAAAGGCTTCATCAGGATCTCTTCTACAGGTTGCTTGCCACTTACAATCACTTTGGGTACATACAGCTACACACCTAACCTTATCATTCTTCTTAAATTTCAGCTCCTTTCCATACTGTATTCCATATGTCTTCACTGCATTTTTGAAATCCTCTTTACCCATAAAAGCTCTACCAAGCCACAAAGGATTTGGCAACTCTGGAAGAGGAGGATTAGGCCTAATAGACACACCCAAATGTACATCAGTCCCTCTTTCCTCATCAGAAAAGTTAACCTCACTGTTACTAGGCCTTTTATTTCCCTCACCTGCATCATGTACCACTTCTAGGTTTCCCTCACCTGCATACTCTATTTCTGGATCTGTGTATTTAACAAATTCTTGATCATCAACTTGACCTTGCTCAATTTCATAGTCACTTCCTTCAAATTGGTCCAACTCAACTTCTGAACTGTAATTTTCTTCTTCCTCACTATCATTTTCTTCTTCCCTAATATCATTTTCTGGATCTACATTCTGATTTTCTTCTTCATAAATGTCATTTTCTGGTATTTCATATTCTGCAATCTGATTTTCATCTTCTCCCACCACCCCTACAATAACCCAAATCTCTAGTACCTTAGGTCTCACAATAGAGTTAACCAAGCTCCAAGCATCCAAATCTAAAATTAACTCTACCAATCCAATATCACTCTTAGAAAAACATCTACATCCATCTATCTTATATCCCAACTGTTGAACTTTCTCCCATAAAGTCATTATTCCCCACTCATCATAATCCATGTTACAAAACCACTTAACAGTTCCTCCAACATACTTAGGTGGGTTGCCTACTTCTATCCTACCACCATGCCTTAGTTTAAGATTGAAAGTAGTGTTCTCTTGACCACCTGATATATAAAATGCACTTTAATAACTTCAACACAACTTTATAAATTCCAAACATCCAATAAATTTAAAAAAATAAATAAATAAAAAAAATAAATAAAAAAATGAAAAAGACATAGTATGCTTGTTTATACAGACAATATTCAAAAAGCATATATAATGGTGGTCCCCATACTGGTTTCGTTTGCAGCAAAAACAAACTATATATTTTGCAGTGGTCCCCATGTATATACATTGATTTCCCCATGCAACAAAAACAAACTATATATATATATATATATATATATATATATATATATATATATATATATATATATATATTGATTTCCAGTAAATGGATTTTCAACTCAAACCAATGCAGTGTCCCCATGTGCTTTAAACATTACAGACATTATTCAACTCAAACCAATGCTTTAAACACATCTTTATATACATTATTGCAGCATACATAGCGACATATCTGATCATTGCAGTCAAAAAGCCAAAATGCAGCCTATAACAACAACGTATCTGAACATAATCATACACATTACCCTACCCATTACCCAAAAAAGCATGCGTCAAAAGCAGTACACAAACAGAAATAAAATTACAACCACTTTCTTGGTGCAGGGTGTGCGCGAATCCCACTCCCAGGTTGCATCTTGCTGGGAGACCTCTCAAACCTCTCTTATTTCGAATCTGTTGGGATTTAGGTAGCGGTACGTAGCGAACCCACTCTCTCGAACCAGTCTGATGCGCTCTCGCTCTCAATGCCGAACACTAACCTTCGAATCAGAATTTAGAATTAAGAATTTGGATTAAATATCGTGGGCAGCCCGCGCTGACCGACTAGCATCCTAAAATTCCTTTATTACCCTTCAATTTAACGGACGTTACAAGCTTATTTTAACAGATGACCATTTTGGTTAACTTTTACATAGTTAAGGACTTTATTAGGTAAAAAAAAATAGTCGATGACCAAATTGATAATTTGAGAAAATTTCAATTTTGGTCACACGATTATAAGGGATTTGTTAATTTCAGCATCTAACTTTTAAAAGTGTCAATTTAGTACCTTGAGTATGTAATTTTTGTCAATTTTGGTCACTCCGGCCAAATTGCCGGCCAAATTTGGCCGGAAAAATTTAATACAACATTTAGTCTAAAATTTGAGGGGCAAAATGGTCTTTTGTATCCTTTGGTGTTGACCGAATTAATTTATACTAAATGTTGGATTAAAATCTGATTTGGATTGCGATTGTAGCACCGTGGGGAAGACAAGGATCGTTTTGCATTCTCCAATGGAATCTGAATTGCAAGAGTTATCCAAGCCTTCCTATGAGAAAAATGATAGCTTTGTGATGGATAATTCTCCACATTCTACGAGCACGTTAAGCTGTGGTAATGTCATTCAGACCCCCAAGTTAGATTCAAGCTCAGCCCTAGATTTTGGATTGTCGTGGCTTAATGTAGACGAACATCATAAGCAGCCTGGATTCAAATATGAACTTGATAAGGTTACAGAAATTCTTCGCAAAGCGAACCTATCACCTCAGAATTAGATGCCAACTCATGATGCTCCTGGGATGAGTTTCAAGTTTACTAATTCAACCTCGCCTTTTAGTTTCATCGGCATCGCTGAATGTCAAAAACGCAGGGATGCTGCTGCATCTTTGCTTTCCGATTCCTCATTTGGAAATGCATCTGAGTCTAACATGAAAATATCGTGGAGGGATGGATTAGTCAGTGTCGGTCGAACTATTGAGATGGATGAGTTAGATCACTGCAGGTGCTTGTCAGATGAAGAAAACGAGAATCTATGTTGCGCTAATGATCTATCTTAAATTAAATATGAGACATTATCATAGAAAATACCATTTTACCCCTCAGAAATGTTGGATTAAATTATTCCGGCCAAATTTGACCGTCAATTAGGCCGGAGTGACCAAAATTGACAAAAATTACATACTCAAGGTACTAAATTGACACTTTTAAAAGTTAGGTGCTGAAATTAACAAAGCACATATTGTCGTGTGACCAAAATTGAAATTTTCTCTTGATAATTTTGTAATAGTCAAAGGACCATTTTGGTAATTAACTCTTTATTGAGTGAGATAGTTGGCTTTAAGATTTCATGTTACTTTATACCCAAAGTTAAGAATCGAACTTTTAACCTTTGGTTAATGATGAATTGATTTTATTTTTTGTGACAAAGAATATCACTCACTCAATTACAAACCACCCCTTTTGCTTAATGGTTTAAATAGACCATAAATATCAATATAAATATTTTTATTTAAAACACTAGTATTTACGCCCGTTCGATGCACGGAATAGATTTGTTATAATATATTAAGAATATTTAGATTGATATATAATTATTTAAATTAGAACATCAAATATTGTATAGTGCAATTGAATATGTGATTTGAATCATTTATGTGTTTTAATGTTATCATTGCTTGAATTTGAGCAAATAATTGATCTACGCATGCAGTGCGGTAACTTTGGGTTTTATTTATCATCGTTTAGTATTTTTTTTTTTTTATAAATTAGGTAAATGTGTTCATTCTCTAGCAACTCAGTTATAGGAATGAATTGCTATCTTAATTATTTGTATATACGGAAGATATGTTTTTTGTCTAGATATATAGCAATTTTGTCATTTAAAAAAACATAATATCAACGATTGTATTAACACATTATTGAAACCTCTTTGTAGATGACATTGGTAGTGTCAACACGATCTTGTCCATCCTCGTCTAGAGCTAACGCTTTCCGTCCATCAGGACAGGTTACTCGGGTGAAAATATATAATGATAGAATATCACTCAATTAGTGATCCTTTTATATTTTTCGTCAATTAGTAATATCATATACACTTTCAGCCAATTATTCTTTTTTTTTTATTTATTTTCAATCAATTAGAATATCAGATTCATTTTAAGCCAATTTTTCTTTTTTTATTTTCAGTCAATTAGAATATCAAAATGTACTGATATTTTTACCTAATTTTCATTCCATTTTTAATTGATGATGTAGATATTATTATTGAAATATTCCCGTTCCATTTTTAATTTACTTTTACTATTGTTTAAAATATGCATTTACTATTGATGATGTAGAATATTATTATTAAAATATTTTTGTCTAATTTTTAATTTCTGTTTCATTTTTAATTATAATGCAATGATTGGCCATTTGTTTTTTTTATTTTAGTCAATTATGGATCATTAATATCAATTTCCTTTTATATTTTCAATCAATTAGTCAATTAGAATATAGATTCAGTGATATTTTTACCTAATTTATGTCCTATTTTTATTTGATGATGTAGAATATTATTGTTCAAATATTTCTGTTTTATTTTTAATTTTCTTTTCATTTTTAATTTACCTTTATAGGGCGTTTGGTTGGAGGGATTTTAAATTCTCTTTCCACTTAATTCCCACCTAATTCCAAATGCTACAAAATTCCCTTGTTTGGTTGAAAGGAATTGCAATTCCATGGAATTGCAATTCCTCCATTTTCGTGGAATTAAAATCCCATGTCTCCCCCTGGTATTTTAATTCCTGGGATTTTAAGAAGAAAAAAAGATAGTGATGAGTCAAAATTACCCCTCCCTTTTTTAATCTAAAATTAATATTTGACAACAACAATGGACATTTTAGACTTTATACTACTTATTCCCTTTCAATTTCCATGTATACCAAACATTGGAATTGAAATTTCCAGTAATTCTATTCCTGTCAACCAAACATTGGAATTTAAATTCCCACTTTATTCTCAGTAATTCATCTCCCATGGAATTGCAAATCTTTTCTCACGTAATTCCACATCTCCAACCAAACGCCCTGTTACTATTTTTTAAAATATGATTTTACTATTGATAATGTAGAATATTATTATTAAAATATTTCTTTTCCATTTTTAATTTTCCTTTACTTGATGATGTAGAATATTATTATTGAAATATTTCCATTCCATTTTTAATTTCCATTCCATTGTTTTAAAGTGTGAAAGATTTATGATATAATTGTGATTTGATATATTCTACTGTGTAATATTATTGTGTAAAATTAAAATGCAATAATTTGACAATTTTCTTTTCCATTTTAGTACGTGAGCGCATTGAATATGGAAACACTATTACCAAGATTTTAGTTAATTTCTATTTTACATTTGCTTACAGAATAAGTTGTATTAAATTAGTTGGTGATAAACATCCAAAAATTCTACACAGTAATACCATACATAATATTACCAATTATGCTATTATGTTATTACCTAATTAATTAATATTTTTTCTACACTGTATTATAAATACTTAAAAAAAAATACGGAGAATTTGCAAACAATAATGTTACCAAAAATATTATTATATTATAGAATATAACTAATATGTCTTTTCTATATGGTATTATGTTTGTTGGTTTTAGGGTTTTTGGGCCCAAGGAGGTCCAACACAACCTTTGGTTGGTGGATTCACATTTCAACAAAAAGCTCTGAAAATGAAAATAATGAACAGGAGTAGCAAAAATGGTGTCTCTCTCTAATCTGGGCATGGACTCGCCCCTTTTACATTCACGGAGGGGCCTTTATATAGCAGGCCCTCCTTTAAATTGAGTTACAACGTAATAAAAGGTCATTAGGGGCTAATTATGTCTTAAGGCCGTTGGGTGCCGTTACTGGGCCGGCCAACGGCTCTTTGGGCCTCTCAACGGCTCACTGGTTGAGCCCCTTAAATGCCGCTATAAATGCCGCGCAACGGCTCTTGCCGAGTCCTCTCTTTACCCCGGGCCTGGGCCGACTCCTGGACTCGGTCCAGGCCTCTGTCGGGTCCTGCTACTGGTCCAAACTTTCATCTACTGGGTCGTGCCTTACTCGCTCTGGGCTCTTCCATCCTTCCTAGA